TCATTTCGGCCGCTTGTATCCGCGATCTTGTTCCTTCAGTCATTACCCAGATCTCATGACCAGAGGTGAGACTAGGAACGTAGACTGACCGGTAAATCGAGAGCTTTGCCTCCTTTCTCAGCTCTCTCTTCACCACGATGGTCCGCAACACTGCAGACAATTTAAGTTTAACGCGCAGATTGGGAAAGATAGCATAAGTTTCTGCAACATATTGACTTAATTTTCCGGCTTTATTTTGCGCTTTTGTAATAATGAAGTCTTAAGCCTGCATTCTGTCTAACAGCCAGCAGGGGGCGAATAGAAGTCTATGAGAAAATGACTCTACTTCTCGCTTGATTTATTACCTCAGTAAACATTTCTCTCACGAGTTTATGGTCGCAATTGCTAGTTTCAAGACTTTTTAAATACAGAATGATGTTGACTTTGTACGTTATTGTCTAGTTTAGATGAAAATAGACAGTAAAGTAGAGAATGTGCATAGTTTCAGGTAAGATCCAGTCCTCTCTCTTTAAATACAAGATGGTAACCGGTTTCTATTCAGGAATATGAGGAAATATTCCTACAAACAGCTGGAATCAACAAACTAAACCTCAGCTGGATCACATTCAGCGCGTTATGTAACAACGACACATGATTAGAGGAAAATTTCACTAAGGACTCCTGTATTTATTTTGCAGGTAACTTGACATTCAAATGGGCTCGTCACTGCCGCTTTATGTTGTCCAGCTTTGTGCACGTAGGATGTAAATACAGCTTTTAGCTTGTGGTTAACTTCCCTTTGTTTGTGTTGGTAACTTGAGCCGGAGCAATAAAGGTGTCACATGGGGAGCTTACATGCCCGTGAATCAGCTCTCATTTGGAAGCTTTGTGATCTGAGTTTTAATGTGACGACAAAAATAAACAAACCTGCTTTATTGTGATTAGAATAAGAGCTTTTACATCCGCTGACAACAGGGTGGTTTGACGGTTGACATGAGAATGTCGCCATTAAAATGTGACATAACCTCTGTGTTTTGGTTTTGTCGTTTCC